ACTGACCACACCACGCCCAGTTCCGAACCAAAAGGAGTCCCTAAGTCTGACGCCCCAGCTGTTAACCCTGGGCTCCCTGGTGGCCGAGAGGGCACCGCCGCGAGGCGATGCTGCGGAAGATCTTCCTTGACAAAGTCCCCGCCGAGGCGGAAAGACCTAGGGAGCAACGCACCCCTCACGTACCAAGAGGGGTGCTCGTTTCGGCGCCCCGACTGGCGATCATCGGCGCGACTTAGGGGGGTGCATGGGTGGGATGAGCGGGCCACTCACGTCACGATTCGCGCTGGCACCGTCTGGGGGGAAGGGGGGGGGGCGAGGCCGGTCACAGTGGTTCTCGCGAGTCATAGAATTCCTCGACGCGGAGATCCCCATATGTGCATCTCATTTTTTGGCACGTCCTCTTGTGAGCGTCTGGCTGTGAGCGTCTGGGTGTTGGAGCGAATCAGTAGACGACGGATGCGGTGACGACGGCGGCTACGATGAGGCACAGCGACGACGACGCCTCACAGACTGACGGGCGGTGGGCAGGCCTCCTCCCCTCTCCTTGCTCTGCCTCCTGGTCGTGGCCCCTCCCTTCTCTTCCTTCCTGCTCCCCTCTCCCTCCCGCGTGCTCTTCCTCCTCCGTCCCCCACCCCTCCTCTTCCTCCCTGGCGGCCATCCTTCTCTGTCCTCCTGCGCGATCTTCCTTCCTCCGCGTTCTCCCTGTCCTCCCGTCCTCGCTCCTCCTCTCCTCCTTCCCGGCAGGTGTCCTCCCCCCGGGCGGCATTCTCCCCTGTTGTTCCTCTTCCTCGTCTTGGCCCCTTCTCCTTCCTCTCGCGTCTTCCTCCCGTCTTCCTCTTCCTCTTCCTCCCTCCCTGTTCTTCCTCTTCCTCCTTCCTCCCTTCTCCTTCCTGTCGCGTCTTCCTCCGCCTGCTCCGAAGGCATAACATTGACCAAACAAACAGGCGAATATCACTCCGAAACCAGCGCCTCGTCCCTCTGGAACACACACACGGGTCCAAGCCACCAGAAAGGCACTCCGTTTGAGACATCCCCACGCTGCTGGGTATCTTGGAGTGATAAAGCCCGCAAATCGCTCGGTACATCCTCAACATCTGTCCTGAAAACGAAAGAGGCCTGAGCATCGACACAGGTGAACCGCTTGAGACATCCCCACTTTATCGGTACCATGGAGTGCTGCAACCAGCAAGGCGCCTGATACATCCTCAGAAGCTGCCCTGAAAGCATAGAGGTTTGAGCATCGAAACAGGCAAACCGCCCGGTGCAACCCCACAAGCCCGGCCGCGAGCGGGCCCGTAAAGTACCATGCTCGCCCCTATGGGGTGCTGAAGCCAGCGCCTCGCTCGGGACATCCCTGCCATCTACTCTGAAAGTAGAAGCCAGCGCCTTGCTCGGAACGTCCTCACAATCTGCTCTGTAGGCAGACGAGTCTGAGCACGGAAGCAGACAGACCGCTTGAGACATCCACAGTCTGGCCGCGAAGGGCCCCGCGAAACACCCCCTGGCAGCCACCCCCCTGGGTGTGCTGAAACCAGCGCCTTGCTGGAGACATCCTTACGACCGGTTAGTCTGAGTGCGAGTGCGTCGTAAGACTGAATGGGTCTGAGTGTGAGTGAGTTTGAGTACGAGAGGGTCTTAGTGCGAGGGAGTCCGAGTGTGAGCGAGTCTGAGTGTGATTGAGTCTGAGTCTGCGTGTGTTTGAGTTCGAGTGAGTCTGAGTATGCGTGAGTCTGAGTGTGGGTGAGTCTGAGTGTGAGTGAGTCTGAGTCATGCGTGTGTCTGAGTCTGAGTGAGTCTGAGTATGAGTGTGTCTGAGTATGATGGGAAAGGAAGGGAGGAAGGTGAGTGAGGCGGGAGGCGGAGGCGTCTGAGTAATAACAACACTCCCATCGTGGGATATGGGGACGCAGCTGGCTCCAGACGTCTGGCGCTCCATCTGTATGAGGCGTGGACGACGGTTCCCTGTGGCCGGTCTTCCTTCCTGAGTTGTCTTTTTTGGGCGGCCCAAACCAAGACAACGGCCGCTCCAGTTGTTTTCGGAGCCGCGGATCTCCGGGTACGTGGGGCTGCGCCCGGACCAACTCGCCGGTCGCACCTGCGCACCTGGACATCCCAGCGGGGACCGCAGTCGGGGCTCCCTAGCTGGGCACGGACTGCGAGGGCAGGGAGGTGCCGAGGTCCACGCGGCGACTGCACGCGGCCGCCTCGGGTGTTGAGGCCGTGGCTCGGGGTGTGCCGAGCGTGCGAGGGGCCCCACATGCTACGACGCACCACGTTGCATCTTCGGGAGGCCTTGTCTGGCCCCAGGTCTAGACCTCGTCGCCCCAGAGGTCGGGCGAAGAAATCCATACATAGCCACCGTTCCCTAGCCAGGCCGAGGGCGTGGCGTATACACTGGTGCTCGGTTCAGGATGGGCCTGGCCAGGGAGCAGTAGATATGTATAGGTTTCGTCGCCCTATTGTCTGCTCTGGATGTATATATATATGTATATATACACATATTTATACATATGTATATAGTATATTATATTACAGTATAGTATAGTACGGTATCATACAGTATAGTATAGTATATTACATTATATTATATGATATAATATCATATTACGTTATGCTATATTACATTCTATTACAAATCAGTATATTATATTATATTATATTATATTTTATTATATTATTTTATGATATATTATATTATGCTGTATTATATATATTATGTCATATTATGTTATCTTATATTATATTGTATAATGCTTATTATATTTTATGATATTATATTATTTTTACCATATCATATTATATTACAATATACTATATTATGTTACGTTATATTATATTGTATTATATCGTATTATATCCTAGCACATTATATTTTACTATATTATAGTATATTATATTTTATTATACTGTATTATATTATAATATATTATATTCATATTATACTATATTATATTTATAGGTATATGATATTATATTACAGTATATTATATTATATTAGAGCACATCATATAATATCATATTACATTATATTATATTATATTGGTATTTATTTTTTATTTACATTTTTTTAAATATTTATATTCATATTTATATTTATAATTATATGTATCTGTATAATAATATACTATAATATTATATTTTATATTATGTTATATTATATTTTTATGATATTACATTATATTACATTATATTATATTACATTATATCTTAGTATATTATATTGTATTTTATTATACTATATTATACGATGTTATATTGTACCATATTATATTATATTTAAAACTATTATAGTATAGTATAATATATTTATATATAATATATTATATTTAATATATAATATTATATTTATATATATATTATTATATATATTATATTATATTATATTTTACCATATCATATTATATTATATTATATTATATTATATTATATTAAATGGTATTTTGTTATATGATATGATCTTACTTTGTATTCTGGTATCGTATATCATACTATATTATATTATACCATATTCTTGTATATATATATATATATATATATCTATATATATATATATATATATCTGTCGGGGTACGAGGCCGGGGGCCTCTGGCCAGCTGCCTCGACTCGCCATGGGGGGAACCCCCCTCCCCGGGCCTCTCCAGAGCCGCTCCGGGGCGTCTCCCGAGCGGCTCTGGACGGACCCTGGTGATGTTTCAGCACCAGGAATGGTTCCCATCTTCGACCCATGTCGCCGAAGCACGTAGTAGAGGTTTCGGGAGGTCTCCAAAATGGCTCCAGACGCTTCCAGAAGCAGTCCCAAGAGAGCTCTGGGAGGCCCAAATTGATGGTTTCCCGATGATTTTGGAAGGATTTTGACCTTCGGGTTCTTTCGGTTGTACGACGCTCCAAGACGGCCCAGGAGGTCTCCAGGTCCGCCCCAAAGCAACCCCAGAGGCCCCCAAGACAAGCCCAAGGCGGCCCCGGAGAGCCCAAGACTGGCCCAAGAAGCGCCCACGACAGCCCAAGAAGGCTCCAAAACAACCCCAAGAAGGGCCCAAGAGAGGGACCGCGTACCGAACACCCAGGGCTCCCGCCTCAGCAGTGACCCTGGAGGCCCCGGGCAGCCCCCAAGAGTCCTCCAACATGGCTCTAAACGCTTCCAAGACCACTCCCACGAGGGCCCCAGCAGGCCAAACATTCATGATTCCACAATAGTTTTGGAAGGGTTTTGGCCTTCTGATCTTTGCGGCTGTCCGGCGCTCCTAGGCGGCCCAGGAGGCCTCCGAGACTGCCCCCAAACAGCTCCAGAAGCGCCCAAGGCCGCCCCGAGGCGGTCCCGGAGAGCCCAAGGCTGGCCCAAGAAGCGCCCAGGGCAGCCCACGAGTGCCCCAAAACAGGCCCGAGAGGTGTCCAAGAGACGGACCGCGTCCGGACAACCCAGGGCTTCCGCCTCAAGAGAGCCCCAGGAGGCCCCAGGTAGCTCCCAAGAGGCTTCAAACGTGGCTCAAGACGCCTCCACGAGCACCCCCAAGAGGGTCCCAACAGGCCAAATCGTTTAATTTGACTTGGAGGATCTTGGCCTTGTTGTCTTGTCGGCTTTCCGACGCTCTCCAATAGGGCCCAGCGCGCCTGCAGGTCCGCTCCCAAACAGCCCTAGGCGGGCCCAGAGAGCCCCAGGGAGCCCGCAAGACGGGCCCTACGCAACCCAAGAGTTCCTCGGCAGGATAGTCCGGGAGGGGGGAAGACCGGGGGAGCCTCTGGCGCCCCATGCTCCGGGAACGCTCCTCCGGAACATGGCGTGCGAACATGAGCGGCATGGTCGCCGTCTTCGTGGTAAGTGCGCTTCCGGAACACGTGGCTTGCAGTGCACGCCGCCGTCTTCGTGGTAAGACGGGCATCGCACCTGAGTGGTGACCTCAACTAGAATCTGAGCGCGCGCGAAGCGCGCGCGATGATTCTAGTATATATATATATATATATATGTATAGACCTCGTTGCCTCAGAGGGGCCTTCGCCGGCAGGCGATGCTGCGGCAGAGCCTGCAAGACAAGGTTCCCACCGAGGCCGGCGCGCTCCGACAGGCGCTGGCAGCCGCTAAGGACCCGCTGCGCGCGCGGCGCTCCCCCCGCCACGAGGAGGAGGAGGAGGAGGAGGAGGTCCAGACAGAGGCCCAGAGATCCAAGGCTCCGACAAAAAAGTTGGCGTGGGGCCGGGACCGTCAAGGAGCGACTCAGGGCGAAGAGCCCGCCCTGGCGAAGTGGTCCAGACTCCGGGGGCCCATGCATCGAGCAAGCATGGAGCGCCAGATGCTTGGGAGGAGGTCCAGACGGGGGCCCGAGCGTCGGAGTTTTTTGTCCGTCGGGTCTGGACCTATGAGGCCAGGACCCGTGGGGCCGCGGACGGAGCGAGTGCCATCGGCGGATGCCCGGCTGCTGTGCACATCCGCCGCCCCTGGCCGGGCCCCTCCGAACCCATCCTCTGGCGCGCTTTTTCCACGCGGACGTCTTCGCCCGGTCTCGGGCGACGGGGGCCGGCACAGTTCTTCCGCTGTTGGATCTTTCGAGGTTTGTCATTTTTCGCAGCCTCGGATCTCAGGGCGAAGAGGGGGAGGAGGAGGAGGAGCAGGAGGAGGAGGAGGAGGTCCAGAGGGGGCCCGGCCCCAGACCCCCCCCCCCCGCGTCGTGACAAAGTCATGCTGGACGCTTTTTTGGGCAGTTTCCGACCCCTGGGGACCCTCGCCGGGCCTCGGGACCGTCAACCAAAGGAGTCAGGATGGATGACCGGTCCTGGGGAATGGGTCGAGACTTCTGGGGGTCCACGCTGTGAGAGAGTCATTGCGTCGGGGGTCTCGGGGGTCCGACTCTCAGAGTTTCCCTTTGTGTGTGTGTGTGTGTGCTCTGCAGGGTCTTTTCCGCCTCGGCCCAGATCTCCGACGATGTGGTTTTGTCAAGTGGCGGTTTTCCTTCGGTGTCGGCCCTCGGGTGGCCGTTTTCGGGCCGCGGGGCCAACAAGAACGAATCCGCGGCGACAGAAATGCCCCGGGGAAGCGGTCGGGACTTCCTGGGCCCAGGTATTGAAAGCATCACGTTCTTAGATGCCACTGGTTGTTGTTGTTGCTGCTGCTGCTGCTGCTGCTGCTGTTGTTGTTGTTGTTGTTGTTGTTGTTGTTGTTGTTGTTGTTGTTGTTGTTGTTGAACATTATTACTTCTAAAGTAATTATTGTTGGGGCCCCTGGTGCACGCCCCCCCCGCCGCGCCTAGGCCGCAGCCACATTTTCATCATTTTCGTGAGGAAGTCTCAGGCAAAACGGGTTGGTCCGGATCCGGTTGTGTTGTTACGATCGGTTTTCCCTTGCAAAAAATAAGCTAAAGTGGACATTTCTTGTTCTAACATAACCAAACTTCAAGAATCCCTTGCAAAAAATAAGGTAAAGTGGACATTCGCGCGCGCAAGACGAAATCCTTCCAAAACCTTAGTTTTCGTAGCGATTTTAACATAAAAACATCAAAAAACCAATGGTTTTTCAAAAAAAAATGTCAAAATTTCATCCCGCGCGCTCTTGCGGATTCGTAGGAAACCCAACACTTTTTAAACATTTCTGTCAAACGGGCTTTTGCGAGCAACTTTTTCGAACTTCTGCGACAACGGTTGCGCACCTGCCAGGGCCATCATCCCTGTCAAATAATACCATGCGGGTCACATTCGTTTTTTCTTCGCGCGCGCACGCCGTCGTCGTCGGCCGCGGGGCCCTGAATAGTAGCCACGGTCGTCCGCATGCCACGAAGTGAAGTGTCCGAACGTCATAGGGCGGGAAGCTGGGTGTGGGTGGTGGCGAAGAGTCGTTTGGAAATTTGGTAGAGCTTGAACCGGCCCCCCCACAAAGTGGGGGTATTGCCCGCCTCCTATGAAAACCCTGGCACTGGTGAGAACGGAGTGTCCCCACGTGCTAGTAATTGTTGTTGTTGTTGTTGTTGTTGTTGTTGAACATTATTAATTCTAAAGAATAATTATTGTTGGGACCCCTGGTGCACGGCCACCTGCGCCGCCTAGGCCGCAGCTACATTTTCATCATTTTCGTGAGGAAGCCTCAGGTAATTCGATGTGATCAAGATCCGGTTGTTTTGTTCCCCCCCGCTTTCCCTTGCAAAAAACACTATAAAATGACATTTCTTGTTCTAATATAATCAAATTTCAAGAATCCCTTGCAAAAAATAAGGTAAAGTGGACATTCGCGCGCGCAAGACGAAATCCTTCCAAAAGCTTAGTGTTCGGAGCGATTTCAACATAAAAACATCAAAAAACCAATGGTTTTTCAACAAAAAAATTGTCAAAATCTCATCCCGCGCGCTCTTGCGGATTCGTAGGAAACCCAACACTTTTAAACATTTCTGTCAAACGGGCTTTTGCGAGCAACTTTTTCGAACTTCTGCGACAACGGTTGCGCACCTGCCAGGGCCATCATCCCTGTCAAATAATACCATGCGGGACACATTCGTTTTTTCTTCGCGCGCGCACGCCGAAATCTCCAAAAACCATTGGGCTTCTTAAGAATTTTAGCACCGCGCATCATAAAATCACACGAATCGCACCGTAGGTCCTCGAAAAACACCTGCACGACTTTTCAAAATTCTACCCGCGCGCGCTGTCCTAACAACTTCTGTGGGTGTGTACTCCACGCCAGTGTAGTAGCCACGGTCGTCCGCAGGCCACGAAGTGAAGTGTCCGAACGTCATAGGGCGGGAAGCTGGGTGTGGGTGGTGGCGAAGAGTCGTGTGGATATTTGGTAGAGCTTGCACTGCCCCCCCCACAAAGTGGGGGTATTGGCTGGCGTCGCATGAAAACCCTGGCACTGGTGAGAACACTGAGCGTTCGGGTAAAGTGATTGTTGTTGTTGTTGTTGTTGTTGTTCTTGAGTTCTCATTTCTAAAGAATGGTTATTGTTGATCACCCCTCACCGATGCATACTGTTTTTTCTCAAGCTCGCACCCTGTTTTTGTAACAGGGACGGTCTTCCTGCTCAAACTGTGCCCCTGGCCCGCCTGAGTCTTCCGCACAATTTACTCAGGATCGGTGCTCCCGCCTGCGATTTCCTCGCAATTTAGTCAGGACTCCCGCTCCAATCTGAGACGTCCTCACAATTACTCAGGAACGGCGCTCCCGCTTGAGACTTCCTCGCAATTGAATGAAGACTTCATCGCAATTTAATCAAGGCCCCCGCTCCCGCCAGAGAACCCCTCACATTTTGTTTAGGAATTGCTCTCTCGCTTGTGATTTCCATGCAATTTATTCAGAAATTGCGCATCGACGCTCAGGAAACACCCTGCGCCAAGTAGGCCGTCACAATTTACTGAGGAATCGCGCCCTCGCAATAATCAGGCATCCCGCTTGAATGTCCCGCCCGCCCGACCCGCCCGTCAGGGGATCGCCCGCCCGTCGTGGGCTCCCGCCCGAGACTTCCTTCAGGAACGGCGCTTTCGCCTAGGACTTCCTCGAACGTTCACGCTCTTACCTTCCTGCTCCTCCTCCCTCTCCCTCCTCCCTCCTCTCCTCCATTCTCTCTCCCTCCTATCTTCCCTCATCCTTATGCCTCTCTGCCCTATCCCCTCTCCCTCCTCTCCCTCCTCCCTTCTTCCTCCCCTCTCCTGCCTCCTCCCTCCCTCCCTTTATTTCTCTCTTTCTCCCCTCTCTCTCTTTCTCTACCTCTCTTATCTGTCCTCTGTTTTTTTTATTTTTTTTGTTTTTCTCTCTCTATCTCTCTGTCCGCTTCTAATCAACCGATTCCCTCTTCGCTCCTTCTCTCCTGGCATTTTCCCTCTTCCTTCGTCCCTCCCCCTCCCTTCCTCCCGCTCTCCCTCGTTCTCTCCCTCTTCTTTTTGCCCGGCCCACACCAATTCCAATGACGGGCACATGTACGCCCACGAAGGATTGTCGGCCCGTTCAGGTTTGCCCGCCTGTCTAGGCCCGCCGCCCCCCGCAAAGAGAAAGAATCCCCCAAAGGGGGTGTGATCGAAGACAAAAAGGGCGGGTTTCGAGGGTGTGGGGAACTCGGTTTGAATGACACGCGGGCAAGTAAGAGCGAACAGTCTTAGAATGATTGTTGTTGTTACTGCTGCTGTTGTTGTCGTCGTTGTTGTCGTTGTCGTTGTCGTTGTCGTTGTCGTTGTCGTTGTCGTTGTCGTTGTCGTTGTCGTTGTCGTTGTTGTTGTTGTTGTTCTTGTTCTTGTTCTTGTTGTTGTTGTTGTTGTTGTTGTTGTTGGTGGTGGTGTTGTTGTTGTTGTTGTTGTTGTTGAACATTATTTATTCTAAAGAAAAATTATTGTTGGGCCCCCTGGTGCGCGCCCCCCCTGCGCCGCCTAGGCCGCAGCCACATTTTCATCATTTTCGTGAGGAAGCCTCAGAAAAGAGGGTGTGTACAGGATCCGGTTGTTTTGTGTAATCCGCTTTCCCTTGCAAAAAAACAATAGAAAATGACATTTCTTGTTCTAACATAATCCAAACTTCAAGAATCCTTTGAACAAAATGACACGAAGTGCACACTCGCGCGCGCAAGATGAAATCCTTCCAAAACCTTAGTTTTCGTAGCGATTTTAACATAAAAACATGAAAAACCCAATGGTTTTTTTCAAAAAAAAGTTTCAAAAATTCATCTTGCGCGCTCTTGCGGATTTCTGAGGAAACCCAATATTTTTTTCAACATTTCTGTCAAACGGGCTCTTGCGAGCAACTTTTTCACGTGCTTCGAACTTCTGCAACAACGGTTGCGCGCATGCCAGGGCCATCATCCCTGTCAAATAATACCATATGGGACACATTCGTTTTTTCTTCGCGCGCGCACGCCGTCGTCGTCGGCCGCGGGGCCCTGAATAGTAGCCAAGGTCGTCCGCAGGCCACGAAGTGAAGTGTCCGAACGTCATAGGGCGGGAAGCTGGGTGTGGGTGGTGGCGAAGAATCGTTTGGAAATTTGGTAGAGCTTGACCCGGCCCCCCACAAAGTGGGGGTATTGCCCGCCTCCTATGAAAACCCTGGCACTGGTGAGAACGGAGTGTCCCCAGTCTTAAATGATTGTTGTTGTTGTTGTTGTTGTTGTTGTTGTTGTTGTTGTTG